CACCTACTGCTTGACTGAAAATTGGGCCACAAGGATGAGTTCCATTCCAGACCTAAAGGGTGGCCGAGGGCCATCGTTTCAGGTTCCTTTCTGACCAGTAAGCCTGGTCTTTTTATAATTTTGAGTTTTGTTCCACATTTTCTCCCTCTCTATCCAGGACTTTCTGGAGTCCTGATGTAGCACTGCGGGTTAATGCACTGGGTTAAAACTGCAATGGCAGTTTGAACCACAGGGTTGGTGGTTCAATCTCACTAGCCACTCCTCAGAAGCCCTATACCCCATTGCTATGAATTGAAACTGACTCTATGGCACTTAACAACAACGACAACCAGGACTTTCTACTGTGATCCCTTTCAGAGCAGTTGTAGTAGTATCTGAGCACCCTCTAGTTCTTCTGGTCTGCTTCTTGATCTGGGTGTTGATTTCTTAGGTGTTTGCTTTCTGATGGCTTGTTAAACTGTACAAATAAGTTTTATATACTTTTTCTTATGTCTGTAATGTCAAAAAAAAAAAGGCAGGAAAAAAATGTCATTCATCTAAAATGAAAGAACTATGTATGCATTAGTCATCATGCATCATGCTTGTGATGACTGGAAGATAGTCTGGCTTTTTGAGTCAGAGTTATTTGCTGGGTTTCCTTTGGCAAATGACTTTATTTCCCTGAGTCTCATGTACTGTCTTTATAGAATAAAGATAAAATCTGTCTTTCTGATGGTGTTGAAAATCCAATAAGCAGTCAGGTACATAAAACAGACAGGAAAGAGGAAGTTCCTTCTCTGGCCTTGTAATCACACTCCATCACACCTCCATCAGCAGACTCTAACAGGAAGCAGCTGACAAAGCAGGAATGTGGTTTGCAGGCTCCCAGCCCCAGGATCACAGAACAGAGTATAGAACGGTGGGTTTGCAGCTAAGAGATTATAAAAACCAGCTGCCATCAAGTTGAAGTGACTCATGGAGACTTCATATGTGTCAGAGTAAGCCTGTGCTTCATTCAGCTCAATGGATTGAACCTGCTTTCTTCACAAGTAGATTGCAGGCCTTTCTTCCAAAGTGCCACTGGATGGACTCAAGCTCCAACCTTCCACTAGCAGCTGAGCATGCTGACTGCTTTGACCACACAGGGTCTCCTAAGATTGTGGCCTCAACTTAATGATGAGGGAAGTGTTGGAGAAATACAATTCAAACCTGTTCTCAGATAAGTGATAGGAGTGGAAATATCACCTCCAGTGGCATGGAAAGGTACAGATGAACTTGATGTTTCCCTCCAGTGCACTGGTCCCCGTAGTCTTATAGAACTCAGATGAACCCAACTTGAAAGGTAAGTCTCTAAGCTGAGTGAAGGGAGCCACATCCCATCATCCATCAGAGTCTCTCAACTCTTGGTCTCTAGAAGACCATCTGATACCAGCAGATTGGTGAGGAGCTGGGTCTGCCAGGAACTGCAGAGACTCATTCTCTGTGACCTTTGTTCTTTCTGTCAGAAATTCTCTGGGCCCAGCACAGAGGTCCTACAAATGGGGACCTTAAAAACACTTCCTAACTTATTTTTCTTGCAAATCTTACAAATAGAAAACCTGAAGGTTTCTAACAAAGATTAACCCATTGGACAGGTAGAGTTGAATTATATTACAGATGTCTTTGAAAACCAGTTATTTCTGAAGACAGTGGAGCACTACACTACTAACTAAGTGTATTCTTAGTTACAGAAATGTCAAAAAAGTGGTGACTAACAGAGAGTAAGAGAAAACTAGTTTAAAATTTTGTTGTAATCAAGGTGTAAACTGATGTAAGCCTGTTTGTGAATGCAAGTGTGTGAATAAACAAAGATAGATATGAAAATAGCATATGATGAAAATTCATGGCATCTGGGAATACGGAGGATAAAAGTCAACATTGATGCCAACTTTAAAGACAGGATAGAGATTGACTGATGGCTTCAACATTGACAAAAGGAAAAGATTCCTCTTTAATGTCAACAATGAATGAAAGAAGATTCAACGTTGGTGCTAATGTTGAGAGAGATGAAATATTTCACTCTGATTTCAATGTAGACACTTCAGAAACTAAAAAGTTGGATGTGTTATTATGAAGAATGACATTTCCACATTACTCTTCTTCTGTGTGCACTTTTATTGGGGGCTTTTGATATCCCCTTGTCAAATAGTGGTAGGAGTATGCATTCCTAAGGAAGAAATAATCTTGCTTAAACAAAGCCAAATCCTTATATCCTTCCCAGAAAGGACCATAACATGAAAGGATTTTTAGAACAAGAGCTTCATGATTTTATCATGAACAATTTTTTTTGTTTCTGTTCCTTCCATTAACTGTAAGTGATGATAAGGTTCTGGCACTGCTTTCTGCCTGTCCTATATTAGAGACTTTTGAGTGAAGCCAAGAATTGTTGGGCCTTGGGTTGTAAAAGCGGTTACTGAGTGGTACAAATGATTAATGCACTCAGCTACTAACTGAAAGATTGGAGAATCAAGTCCACCCAGAGGCACTTCAGAAGAAATGCTTACTGATCTACTTCCAAAAAATCACTTGAAAATCTTATGGAATATAGCACTTTAGATACACACAGCAGAACAACCCCCTGACAACAAAGACCTGTGAAACTAAGTAAAAATGACACACACACAAAAAAAAGTCTTCAGATCCCAGAACACCAAGCAGCAAGTTGAAGAAGCAGACCAAACACTGATTAGAAGGAGCAGCCCAAGTAGACTCACAAGAAGACAGAGATTTGGAACAGGGTGACCATCTTGAGACAATGATTCGGCAGAATAAGATGCTCAGGAAAGAAACCGAAAAGACAGTGCAACTGTTGTCCGAACTGAATTGCAAGCAACCTCAGAAAAAAGCGACAGGGTGGGCAGGAAGAAGCCAGGGCCCTGAATAGGACGCATGGAAGTTGTAGAGATATGTAACCAGGGAGCTACAGAGAAGTGCATCTATAGCTAGTGAAACAGAGTGAGCTGTAGTCAAGGAAGAAGTGTTGGAAGGGAGTACATAATAGCAGGGAGTGGCTGGTGGATTAGAACTGCCAACCTTGCAATTCAAACTGACTTTGTGGTCCTGCACATTATCTTGCAGAAATAAGAGCTGTGACACAGATAGACATATGCACTCCCGTGTTCACCACAGCATTATTCACAGTAGCAAAAAGAGAGCATGAGCCTAAGTGTCCTTCAAGGGATGAATGGCAAAATAAGCTGTGGGCTTATGAGGGGGCTTCAGAAAGTTAGTGGGAAAAGTCTGTTATTAAAGAATCCCAGTTCCCCATGAACTTTTTAAAGCCCTCACATATATACAAAGAAGTGTACGCTACCATACAGAATAATGATAAATCTGCAAAACATCTCACAATCTCACAACTTGAACCACCTACCTTACAGTTCAAACGACTTTGCAGTCTGACTCATTAGCCCACAGCACTACACCAGGACTCCTTGGATAAGGCAGAAGGACACAATGTTGAGTGAAGTAAGTCAATCACAAAAAGACAAGTGTTATATGAGGTCGCTATTTTAAAAACGTTTACACACAGAATCAGTTTTTGATGTTGACCAAGAATGTGTAGAAAAGGGAGGGGAAATCGCCAGCTAAATAGTATACAAGTGTTGATTATAGTGAAGGGAGAAGTAACATGCAATATGGTGCAAGTCAGCACAGCATGACCAAGGCAAATGAAAGACACTGAGAGGTAAGAACAAAAGGCAACTATGGCAATTGCTATAGCCTCTATAATCCTGCAACAACAGTAATAACAGATATTTGTGAGCAGCTGCATGAAGGAATCTGTATGTTAAATAGGTGAGGGGAGTCATACAGGAGTATACCTGCATACATACATGTGTGCTGCTACTGCTGCGGCTGCTATGTGTTGTCAAACCCAGTATAGGATTTCTGAGACTGTAAATCTTTACAGGAGCAGAAAGTCCCATCATTTTCCTATAGAGCAGCTGGTAGATTCAAACTGTTGGCCTTGCAGTTAGCGGCCCAATGTGTAACCCACTATGCTACCAGGGCTATGTTGTTGTGAAGTTCCATCAAGTCAGTTCTGACTCATAGTGACCCTGTAAAGGGTTTCTGAGGAGCTTGAATGGCCGACCTTGAAGCTCAAATGAACTTGTAGTCCAGTGCATTAACTCATGGCGCCACACCAGGACTATGGTTGTAGATATTTCTACATGCAAACTTATAAACGCTTTATATATACTCATATATATAATTAAGCATATGAGAGCAGTCATAGATACTATTCAGACATTAGGACCAAACTCCTGAACTTGAAGGCTAAATAAAGACCATAGTCTTTGGGAACATGTAGGTCAACTGGCAAAACACAGTTCATAAATACAATGTTCTACATCCTAGTCCAGTGAGCAGCATCTGGAGATTAAAAGCTTATGAGCTTCTATCTAAGAAGTAACTACTGGTCTCTTATCTGGAGCAAAGGAGCATGAAGAAAAGTGGAGACTCAAGTAAGGAGTTACTCCAAAGGATGAATGACCCACATGAACCACAGCCTTCTCTAACATTGTAATAATCAAATACATGAGACCAAATGGCAACATTTGCTCAAAACCAAAGATTAGAAGGTAGGAAGGGACAGGTAGGAAGATGGATGGGAGAAGGAAGCCAAAGAGGAAAAGGGCAGAGCACTGCCACATTGTGGGGACTGCAACCAATGTCATGGAACAATTTGTGTATGGATTATTGATTGGAAAACTAATTTGCTATGTAAACTTTCATCTAAAGCACAATAAAAATGTTCAAAAGAAGAAAGAAAACCCAATGGAACACAATTGTACTCTGACACACATAGGGTTACCTTCCTTCATGGAAACTAGTTTGGACTGTAAACGGGAATGGGAATATGGAGATGAGATTGGTTGTTTCCATTTTTGCATCCAATGAAATTGACTTTGGAATGCAGGGATTCTTGATGGTTGGCTGTCTCTCATTGTCCTTAATTGTGTTTTCCGTTTTTGCAGACATATCTCGAGATTGGTCAGACTTTGCTCTTTGGTGGGAACAAAAGCATTGCTGGCTTCTGAAAACTCACTGGACCCTGGACAAGTGTGGGGTCCAGGCAGATGCAAAGCTTCTCTTCACCCCTCAACATAAAATGCTTCGTCTCCGACTGCCAAATGTGAAGGCAGTGAGATTGCGAGTCAGCTTCTCAGCTGTGGTATTTAAAGCTGTCAGTGATATCTGCAAAACGCTGAGTGAGTACCTGAAGGGGCCCCGTGCCCTTTAGACTCTCACCAAAGGAGTACAGGAAAAGGTGTTTGCTTTCTGCCCGCTGCAAGCAGTTGGCTTTAGAGAGCACTTTCCTTCCTAATAGTAAGAAGCACACTTTTCAAGGCCATTTAAGTGGATTTACACCAAATGGAATATTATTGGAATCAGATTCATTTTCACAAGGCCCCAAACTATTTCAAAATGTATATGTAACTTAAGTGGAAAAACCCATTAAGGTTACTTCCCACGTCCCAAAAAAGAAACATTTCTCAAAGCTATACTAAGATCATTATTATACTTAGGACAAATGAAAACAAGTTCCGTGAAATCATTTATCGGTAGAGAGGTCATGTATGAGATCATGGTGTTGCCTTGTCTTTACTGCTCTACTTTGTCCACCATAATCGTTGTATCATTTATTTTTAAACAGAAACGTGCACTTAAATTATGGATTGAAATTTAATTATTATGGATTGATGTCCCAACATGTAAAAGTCAATAGGGACAATATGGATGAAACCATTTTTCCTCTGCAGGGACTTTCATAAAGGAAGTCCTTGAACCATAAAGGTGCTCTTATTTTATATATTTTTAAAGTGTGTGTGTATTTGGTTCCAAGGCCACAATTTAGCATTTGAACACAGAATAGACACTATATGAGTAGCAATCGATCTTCCCCATTAAATTACAAAGTTCATTCATTCATGCAACACGTATAAATGGGCTTCCCAAAGTTCATGGAAAAATGGAATTAAAAGATAATGGATTCCTTCCACGAACTTTTTTACCACCACCACCCCCTTGTGTTTATTGAGCAATTATTATATCCTGGTGTTTATTGAGCACTTACTATATCCTGGTGCTTATTGAGCACTTACCATATTCCGGTGTGGTGCTATAGGATAAGTACTGAACTGCGAACCACAAGGTTGGCGATTCAAACCCACCAGCCACTCCTTGGAAATTCTATACAGGGTTGCTATGAGTCAGAACCAACTCAGTGACACTTAACAGCAACTATGTACCTGGTGTGGCAAGATAAGATAAACACTGGACTGCTAACCACAAAGTCAGTGATTCAAACTCACCAGCCACTCCTCATAAGTCCTATAGAGGGTCACTATGAATCGGAACTGAATCAAGGGTACTTAACAACAGCTATATATACCCAGCCATTGTAATAAGATTAGGGATACATTAGCAATAAAAATAGCCAGAAATACCTGCCTTATTATCGGTTTCCTTTTAATAGGTAAAAGCAATAAACAACAAATGTCATAAGCAAGGAACGGATGTACTATGATGTGTCACACTCTGGTTGAATGTTTACTCAATAACAAAACTTGTCTTTCTCAAAGAAAAAAAAAGAGAATGCTTGATATTAAAAGGTAGTAACTGGTAGAGAAGAAAAGAAAAACGTACAATAGAGTGAGCAGGGCTGGGAATGGTGGTGTTAGGTAACAGGAACTGATATGGCATTAAGGTGGGTGACAATCGAAACCATTTCTTGAGCGTGTTTGTGTTCGTAGCACCAGTACAATGCCTGGCACACGCTGGTTGCTCCATAACTGTTTGCTGACTGAACTGTTTGTTGAATGTATGCCTTTCATTATAAGTATCACTTGCAGAGGTGTGCCTGATGCTTGGTATACAAATGGCAAACCCAGGAAACTTTGTCTTTAGTAAGAGTCCAATGAGGATTTGAAAACTAAAAGAAGGAAATACATAACACTGCATATTCCACACAGTGCATATGATGTGTGAAGCACAAGCACACATCATAATTGGAACCTCAAACTTTTAGGTGTTCTCTTTACCTGCATGGTGTTCTAGAGGTCTCAAGCGGACATTTCTAATCATTGCTTTTTTATATCTAATCAGTTGAAGTGAAATTAAATTTAACCATGTAATGAATTTTCCCTTGAAGAAAATAAAAGACAAATTTCTAGGCTTGAAGATATCTATTTGTTTTGTTTTATTTTGTTTGGAAAGCTTCAACTAGAAATTTGATTCATCACCAAGTTTTGCATATAAATTATGCATTTGGATGTATCACACGTGCATGTTGCAACCTGGCTATCAGATATCCTGAGTTACTGGAGAGAGAATCAAACTGAGCTACTTATCTCTGTGTGTGAACTGAGAAAATGAGACGACCTCATGGAATCAAGGCATTTACCTCCAGTAAAGCTGCCCTGGGAATCCTGGTGTAGCACTACAGGTTATGCACTGGACCTCAAGGTCAGTTCGAACTGCAAGGTCAGTGGTTCAAACTCACCAGCCGCTCCTCAGAAACCCTATACAAGCTCTCTATGAATCTGAACCAACTTGATGGCACTTAACAACAACAACAAAGGTGACCTGAGAACCTATTCCAAATCCCTTGGCTTTAACCTGGGATCATAATAGCACAATGTAGTTAATGCTTATCCTGAGTTCTGGTCCGCAATTATAAATATATTTTATTGATTTGGAGAAATAGGGTTCATCTTCTTAATTTGGGTGCTTTAGGAGATAAGGATCAAATGCAAATAATTTCTTCAGGAAATGAGGTCTGGAAATACTGGTTGGGGGCAGGGAAGAGAAGACCACCAGTAAGACTGTGTCACCAACCAAGTTACATGAGATAGGTACCTGAGGGATTCTGCGAGACACGCTGCAAAACTATCCTACCTGAGGGGCAAGGGAGTTGAGGTGTTGAAAACCCAGCTTTTGTCAGTCATTGAGAGCTGCTCTTGGGGAGCATCAACTCCTTGAGCTTGTGACCTATTACATGTGTATGTAGGCAGAATAGGCTTTGGTGGCTAGAGCAAGTCTTTGGGCAGAGAGATGCATGTGGTAGCTGTCACTGGAAGTTGGTACAGCATGCCTGAAATGGTGAGGGCAAATAAGACGTGGGCAGGGCACTGACAGTGTCTACCAAAGAGCTAAAGTGAGCACCTGGACAATGGGTAGCAGATGGTCCATTAAGAAAAAGGGAGGCAGACCCTTGGTTGTTTAACAAAAACCAAACCAACTGCTGCTGAGTTGATTCTGACTCATGACAAACCACATGTGTGTCAGAACAGAACTGTGCTGTCAAGTCAATTCCGACTCACAACAACCCTGTATAGTGTTTCCAAGGAGCAGCTTATGGGTTTGAACTGCCAACCTTGTGGTTCATAGTCTAGTGCTGATCCTACCAGCTCCACACCAGGTTAGCAGTGGCATGTTAACCATTTGCATCACCCGGGGAACTTTTTAGTGTTTAGAAAACTTTTTTTTTTTTTTTTTTTTTAAAGGAAAAGAAATTCTTGGTAGTGGGGAAATAGAATAGCAAAATGCTGACAGTGGTTGAAACTGAGTGATGAGCACATGGAGGAATTATATGGTTGCCTTTTCTTTTATTGTTTTCACTTTTTGTTGTTGTTAAGTCCATCCAGTCAGTTCCAACTAATAGTGACCCTGTATACAGTTTCCGAGGAGCAGCTGGTAGGTTTGAACCACTGACCTTGGTTAGCAATCCAGTGCTTATGTAAAAAAAATTTTTAAACTATAAATTTTGCTAGACTGAATCTCCCCCCACTTTTTGATATATCCTGTCTCCTACACATTTAGGGAGTCTCCTTTCCCCTCTTATTTCCTCAAAAGAGACGAAGTTTAATTGCATTTACTTCTCAGGAATCCCCTAAGAAATAGCTTCAGGTGCATGAAAAGACTTTGAACTTTAGAAAGATTTTTTTCCTTCTTCTTCTTTCTTTTTTATTGTTTTTTTTTATTCCTTTTTAGATATTAGAAGATCAGAAGAACTTTCCTTGTTAAAACCTTCTGGTGATTATTTTAAAAAGAAGAAAAAGAAAGACAAAAATAATAAGGAGCCCATAATTGAAGATATCTTAAACCTAGAGAGTTCTCCAACCATTTCAGGTTCACCAGGTTAGATGCCTGACAAATGTTCTGTTGTTTTAGTTTGTGGATGCAGAATTTCTCAAAATCCAAGAAGAAACATTTTTTCCTCTCTCTAGCTCTCTTTTTTACCTCTTCTCCCTCAAACAAAGAAGGAATACTAAAACTTCAGCATGGCTGCCATGAGTAAAGGATTTCCAACTAAGTTTTGGCATTAACTAATTTTTCAGACTTTTTTTTCAACAAGGTATTCTTGATACCTTGTCATTTTACTTGTATTATTATGTCTCCAGTGAATGCAGAATTTTTGTACAACTAGCCATGAATTTGAGGTGAAACTGTGATACTTGGACAAGAGATGTTATTATCACTCATTATACTTCTTTTTTCCTGATTTGATCTGTGTCCAGTTCTCCCCTGAACTCAATTTTGTATTGGGTGTGTAAAGGGAGGGCAGTAGAAATTCTGGAGATGTGTTATTCCTTTCTTTTTATACCTAAATAAGCAAATCTCTAGCTTGCTTGCAACATTATAGACTTTCTTGCATTGTATATTTCAAGGCAAAGAAGAAAAAAATATATTTGTACTTATGCAAGTGATTTCTAAATCATTAACTGACTAGGCTGTTAAAATTGACAGAAGCTGCTATTTGTTTAAAGGGCTTGTCCCAAAACATACATGCCTTCAGTGAGGTTTCCAGTTCTTTTATATTACACAGAATTCCTTGCTGAAATAGGAGAACTTTGACTTACTGGAAAGAAGGCAGTCCCCAACATTTGTCTGGTTTGATATTTGGATGCTTTTACAGTTTTTCAGGTTTTCCAAGTGCTGAATATGCCAGCAAGAACTTTTGCTGTGTATTATTTCTCTCCCCCTAGTCATGATTTCTTCTGCTTATTCTTAAATGGTATAAACATTCAAGTTCAAAACTCATTTAAATATAAGCCATGTTAATAATACATGTTTTTCTGAAGACTGTTAACCTTGAATCTCATATCAGAGTGTGTTCTCTTTACCTTGCAGTAAGTCCTGGTTTATACAGTAAAACTATGACTCCTATGTATGATCCCATCAACGGAACACCAGCATCATCCACCATGACTTGGTTCAGTGACAGCCCTTTGACCGAACAAAACTGCAGCATCCTTGCATTCAGCCAGCCCACACAGTCACCAGAAGCAATTGCTGAAATGTACCAACCTCGGTCTCTGGTTGATAAAGCCAAATTAAATGCAGGGTAAGGACATGATTCCATTATGCCTGTCTCTAAACTGATAATGACAAACTAGAGAGATACTACAGTATTTAATTTTTACATTAGTGCGCCTGAGGATGGCCAGTGGCTCAAAACCACCAGCTGCTCTTTGGAAACCCTATACAGGGTCGCTGTGAGTCAGAACCTAGTCGATGGCACTGTACAACAACAACATGCCTGAGAATCATGTAATGTTAGTATAAACCTGTGCTGAGTTTAACAACAAAAGAGACTATATGCAACTTTTGGTCATTTCTGTATAGACAGTCCTGGGGCTACAAACAAGATCTGTTCCTAACTGTGTCTAAGAATTACGTATGAATTGTTGAATAGAAAACTGATCTGCTCTATAAACCTTCACCCAATTCACAATAAAAAGGTCTAAGAGAAAGAGAAAAAGTTACCTGTAGGTCAGTTGGAACCAGCGCCTACGGTTCTTATTTAGCAAGAAAAGGCTTGAAGACTTTGCTGCACATGCAGCAGATGAACATGATTGTTGTCATTGGGGGTTGGTTCATTCATTTCACAGTGAGGGCAAATTTACAGAAACATAGAATGGATTTTTAATTGAAACAGCGCTGCCCCACTCAAAGATGGCAATGGCTCCACTCAAGGATGGCAGCCAACTGTGTGGCTTTGAATGTGTGTAGCTCTCCAAGGTCCTGCCAGTAATCCAGTATTACATATCAGGCTCCTAAAAGGGCTCACCATGCCTCTTTCAAATCTCCTATTTTCCAGGGCTTCCACACATAATTATTCCTGTTCTGGTTACCATAATGAATCACCCAGATTGTGAAAATACAAGTCTATTTCTGTTTTGCTTCATTAGCCATGACAGATCTGGTTCAGAGCCCTATTTAAAGGGCAAGTAGGAATTGTACATAAGTCAGATGTTCATAACCCAGGGACAGCCTATACATTTAAAGTGATGTACTCTGGGTGGTGTGAATGGTGAGCACACTCAGCTGGTAACCAAAAGATTGGAAGTTCAAACCCACTTAGAGGCACCTTGAAGAAAGAACCAGCAATGTACTTCTGAAAATTCATCCACTGAAAACCCTATAGAGTACAGTTCTACTCTGATGCATATAAGGACTTCATTAGTTAATGTCAACTTAACAACAACTGGTTGAGTGTTTTGTTACGTATGGCAAAGTTATGAGCTAATGCCAAAAGTGTACCTGGTATGGTGTTGTAGGATAAGCACTAGACTGCTAACTGCAAGGTCAGGACAAACCCACCAGCTGCTCTTAGAAACTCTTAACAGGGTCACTATGTGTCAAAATGATTTAATGGCACACAACAACAACAATGGCAAAAGTGTTCTAGTAACTCAATAGAGTACTGTATGAAAAAATGAATTCTTTGTCCCTACAGGTATACAAAGCATATTGTATGGAGTGTGGTGATGGTGGTGGTGGTGGTAGTGTACCATGGAGTCGGTTCCAACTCTTAGTGACCCTATATAGAGTTTCCGAGGCTGTAAATCTTTACAGGAGCAGAAAGCCTCTTCTTTCTCCCATGGAACCACTGTTAGTTTCAAACTGATGACCTTGAGGTTAGCAGCCCAATTCGTAACCAGTACGTTATCAGAGCTCCTTGTATAGAGCATAGGACAGCTTATATGTGTGTTGTTGCCATGAGTAAGCAGGGGAGATCCAAGGTATCTCACCTCAGGAATTCTAATTAGCACATCCTTGAGTTCTGTTTGACATGGTTTCAGAAAATACACTAAAACTATTTCTTAAATGCCATTTCTTGTGTTCTTCATTGCTCACCAGATAAAAGTCTAATTTGTTAACAGCATCCATTTCTCTATAAGCTGTGGTCCTAGCAAATGGCTCTTTATCCTACTCTGGTCCTATATGTCCCATTCCATACTGGTGCACACTAACTGTTTCTGTCTTATCTCCATGACTTTGCTCTTCCCCAAGATTCATCTCCTTTCTGCCTTTTCTGTTGGTAAGTCCCTACTTGTCCTTTGAGACCTAACTCATCATATATTGTGTGCTTCTCAGATACCACCAGTGTGGCTCAATCATTTCCCTGTCGTATGTTTTGCCCTGATGCTGCCTTATTCCAGTGAGAACTTGGTCTCCCCACTGGGCTTTCAATTCCTTTAGGGTAGAGATTCTACCTTGGCCATCTTTGTTCCTAATACAATAAAACTGTATGACATTCTTATTCAGTGGTACTGGGTGATCCCACAGCAAGTTTTGTTTCTCGAGACAGTAAGACTGTGGGTCCACAAGGCACAGTAACTTTTTTTTTCCAACTTTTTATTGTGAAGTGAATGAAGATAAGCAGACAAGATCATCAGCATTACTTTCAGCCAATCATACACTTTACTTCATCCCAATGAGTACATGTCCCTCCTTGTAACAATAGTTATCCAGCTTCCATCCTGTCACTTCCATTTCACAACTTATTTTTAACAAATGAGCAAAGCAAAAATATTTGATGTACAAATACAAAACAAAAAGTATATATTCATCTAAATGTCCAAAGGGCATATTTTGCAAGCCAGTCACCTGCCTCCTGCCTGCCAGCACACAGCCTTTCTCAATCCTAGAGTCTTCAGCTGTTCTATCTCTCTCTGCCATTGCCTCTGCCTGTGTCTCTGCTATCACCACTTTCCTGGTTAGGATCCAGTACTCCACTAATGCTCTTCCCTCTTGATGATCCTGGGATCCACTGTTCCTGAAATGAAGGATTAACGGCTCCCCCTTCTACATTTACACATCTTCTACATTTACAGTTGTGACAATAGCAATGAATCCTGCTTACAGTAACTCACAATTGAATCATAAAATCCCCCATCCCCTTTTACCAGATCCATCTGGAAAAGAGGAAAACTATACAGTGGAGATTCTACCTTACCTGCCTCATTCTGAAACTAAGCACACTCAGGAAAACTTGCAAGCCAGCTACTTCATGCTTCTGTAGCCCCCCATTTTTGATAGCCAATATCTAGATTGCCCATCCCTATCAACCCATTCTAGACATTGGCTATCAAAAGCTCACTAGCTGCTCCTCAGAGAACCTATACAGGGTCTCTATGAGTCAGAACCAACTCAACAGCACTTAGCAATAACAAAACCAGCCCAATGTACTGAGGAAACAAGCTTGTTACTTAATAGGAAGTATCCTTCTGTTTCAGTTGGAATTTTGAGCAACTGTATCCATCAAAATCAAACTTCTTTATCTGATAGAGTTCTGGTCAGCTAACCATCCAAACTAGGTCAACTGGGTACTATCTGAGTGTGGGAGTTCATGCACATCTGCCCCCACTTCACACCAGCTGGCCGCTTCACTCTCAACTCTAACCCCCAGAAGGGACATTATCTTAAACCTGTCATTAATGTCACTGAGACTCAGTTTCCTCGTCTGTAAAACTGAGATCATAAGGACTTTCATGGCTCTTTCACTGAATTGCATTAGAAGTGCACTGAGGGGGAAAAGAAAATCTACGTATGAAAAGCATTTTGGAACCGATGAGGTAAAAAGTGAATATAAGCTATTATTACGTAATCCCCTACTAGGTTTTAGTTATTTTGCTTGCTTTGACTTGATTGAAGTCTCTCTTTGTAAAACTGACTGACGTTACAACCCACCTTATTGCTTTCTAGTTGGCTAGACTCCTCACGCTCCCTTATGGAACAAGGAATCCAGGAAGACGAGCAGCTGCTATTACGATTTAAATATTACACTTTCTTTGACTTGAATCCCAAAGTAAGAGCCTTTTGATCTTTTTTTGTTTCATGTGACTGTATGATAAAGGCAGTAGAGTCCTTTCGTCATCAACATTCTGGTTAAATTATTGGTGTGATATTCTCTCTGCCTGTGAGAACTGATACACAGATCTCTTCATTTTCATCTTTTGGCTGCTGTTGAGCATGGTGAGCTGCCCCTGAGTTAGCAGGTGTCTACAGGTCTTTAAGGAAGCAGGACGCTCCTTGTGTCCAGCAGGATACACTGCTTTTCTCCTTCACAGGAAGCAAGGAACAATTGAAGCACAGCCCACAGCACTGGAGTCCTTAAGGAGTTATCAGGGCCCAGGGCTAAGGGCAGGTTCTCATAAACAAGCCAAGACCACATGATGGTGCAGACAAGATTCCCCACTACATGCTGAATTCACCCCTGGAGATAAGAAAGAGGGATTATCTGCATAAATGTTCCCAGACGATCACCAAATCCCATTTTTGTAAAGGGCACACCACCTACCTGAAGTTTATTAGGACAAGTGGTAAAATAAGTCTTTTGAGCTTCTCTCCCTTCCTTGCCTTTCAGAGAGTTGTGAATCAGCAATTAAATGACCCAGATGTCAAACATGCCAACTAAATAACCAATCCTCAATGTTCCCAGGTAGATTTGGTAGTCTTCTTCACATCCCAGTTTTAGCCTTGTTGCTGTTTTTGTTAACTGCTGGGCACTTGTTTGAGGACCTTGCTTTGCATCACATAATCTCCTATGCACACTTTTCTCATTGACAGTAATGTTTCTGCTTCTCATGGCATTGCCTTCTGTGAGGTCCTGTTTTAAGTCTGCTCTTCCAAGAGCTACCCAACAGATAGGATCTAAATTGTCGGATGAAACCTAGGGAGTTTCACCGAGTTTCAGAGGGGAGACGTATGCAGGATGTAGGATAAAATAGCAGGTGCTGGTAAAAAAATCTCAGCTATATAAAACAGAACATTTTAAAAATAATGCATATAACACAAAATATCCAGAATGCAGAAAAGAAAAGTTTTGGCACATTTAAATAATAAATGAACATTTTATGCCTGGGGGAAGGGGAGATTAAATGACTGAATAAAAAAGTCTTTGTAACATATATGAAATTAAGTCAAAACGTGTTGTCATTAGGATTCCAGTTCATACATGTACAGGTTTATTCCAAACAAAACAATAAACCTGTCTTTAATGTCATTGAGACTCAGTCTCCTCATCTGTAAAACGAGATCATAAGGACTTTCCCTGACTCTCTCACTGAGTTGCTTTAAAGTGTAGTGAGAAGAAAGAAAACAAAATCTATGTATGAAGAGCATTTTGGAATGGCTTCAGACAAGCACTTTCAGTAGTACATCTGTCTTATTCTCATTGGGGTGCCTTGTTACAGTAACCATTTTCACTGCTTGGTTTTTACTGCCCATAAACATTTGATTTTTTAAGAAGAGGAAAAATAATAGACTCTCAGATGGGTCACTTTGTTTCTTTGAGGAAGTTCAAAAAGATATTTTGGGAAAGAGAGTTTTACATTTGGAATCGAAATGAGGTGGGCAATGGAAAGGTAGCGGTATCTCTTTCAGTTACTTGACCTAAAGCTTATTACACCTGATTAATAAGAAGTGGTCTCAGTTACCCCAGAACATTCATATCATGGAATATAAATATAGCCTCCCACACCCACCTGTTTCTTTCTACAGTATGATGCTGTCCGAATAAACCAACTCTACGAACAAGCCAGGTGGGCCATTCTCTTAGAAGAAATTGACTGTACAGAGGAAGAAATGTTGATCTTTGCAGCCTTACAGGTATGGAATGTTACGGCCCCTACTTTGGCAGGAGACAAAGCAAGTATATTCTGATTAAAGTTTTGTTTTGTTTTATTTCATACCATAAGTTTCAAATTGTCTTCCTATTCCACATGTACACATATTATAAGGCATTAGTCTTCCAATTCTGATCTCTTCCCCACGACAAGCACAACTGGGATGGGGAAAAATCAAGTTTCAGTGTGACTAACCATAAATCTCTGGTAGCGTAGTGGTTACGAATTGGACTCAGGGTCAGCAGCTCCAAACTACCAGCTGTTCCGCAGGAGAAAGATGAGGCTTTCTGCTCCCGTAAAGATTTACAGCCTCGGAAACCCTGTACAGGGTCGCAATGAGTGGGAACTGACTCCACGGCTCATAACAACAACAACAACCATAAATCTCAGAGTAATTCAGATGAGAATGTCACTTCCATTTGTATTTCAGGAGATGCTCAGTATTCATGACCACATGTTGTTCACAGGAAATTGTCTTTAAAGAGGAAGAAATGGATTCCTTTGTGTTTATAACACTGCTATAACTTGTGTTTTCATTCTAGTATCACATTAGCAAGCTGTCATTGTCAGCCGAAATACAGGACTTTACAAACGAGACTGAAGTTGATGAAGTAGAAGCAGCACTCTCTAATTTAGAAGTTACCCTGGAAGGTGGGAAAACAGACACCACTTTGGTATGGACTCCTCTGATAACTCAAAATTGTGGCTTTGTTCAGAATGATTGATAACTATAGATAAACTGTTCGGTATTTGGTTTTGGTTTTGGTTTTGGTTTTTTATTTAAAAATAAGGTAATCTTTCGTCTGATTTTGAAAAAAAAAAAGAAAATATTCTCTTTATCTGACAAAAGGTTGAACCTAGCAAGAACTAAATTTTCTCAGCTTAGCTCAGTAAAGAACTATATAAACGAAACCATTTGCCATGAAGTCAGCTTCAACTCCTGATGAGATGACCCCATGGATGTCAGAGGAGGATTGGCTCCATAGGGTTTTCATTGTCCAGTTTCTCAAAAATATATTAGCAGGTCTTTCTTCCTGGGTGCCTCTGACTGGACCTTTCAGTTACCCAAGCATGTTAACCTTTGCATCACCTGGCAATGTAAGACACTATAGATACTTTTGTTACTGTTGATGGCGCCACATTTGTATGTCTGCCTAGAGATAAGTTGACCAGTATGAGGGAAAGATGGTTGTTGGCCCTCTTCACTGGTGTGGGACATAAAAACAATCTGTTAACTTAAGTCTAGAAAACTGCCCTGTCTGTTGCATGGAGCAGCTGTGAAAATGAGTATGTTCATGTAAGAGATATATTTTGTTAAGTATAGAGCCTCAACATCTATCTACCTATTCATACATTGCAACGGGGCAAGGTAGAAGTGAGGGCCTTTTTCATGTGTCAATGTAAAAAGTTTCTGAATCCTTTTGACTTCAGGAAATAAACAAAGGACTTCCAGTAAAGCATAAAGAAATAAAACTGTACTCCTTGTTCCTTATCCATCAAATGTGGTGGAATGCCAGCTTTACAATCAGAATGCCCCTCCTGGTTGATGCATTCATTGGGTGCCACCTTTTTGTTTAACTTCTTCATTCATGAAAGTACTTACTTTAAAAGTATGTATTACTACTAGTTTAATCACACTGAACCAAAGAGGTAGGCCCATTGTTATTGGACCTAAGCAGTAATAATAGATAAGAATGAGTCACTGTATTCTTATACACTTAATGCATGTTCCCTTATCATTATACGCCTTAAAAGAGGAAATAGTATCATGCAAAAGCAGATACTTACTACAAATGAAATGCCAAGCTATAGAGGCCCCCATCTTATGTTTTTAGCAGACATGGACCCCATAACATGGGAGTTGTCTTTTGTCTACTTCCTCCACTGAACAGATACAAAAGGAAATGAAATTTGCCCTCCTCTCTCTCTAGGTGTTTTTATTTGAAAACAAACAATAGTCCTTTCAGTTTGGAAATAGGCCCAGCTTACACTTTAAAATGAACTTTGAGCCAAGTTCCTTTTGAGAGTTTAATCAGTAAACTGAATGTACTTAGAGTAACCCACATTAATGTAAAATGGTAAAATATTTTATCTGTAAAAATAGTCATTTCAAACTCAAATTTCTAACTTGTATGGTATGTACAAGTAAATTTTCAGTCAATTTTCTAATCTTTTTTCTTTCATTTTTTTTGTGATACATGAGTATGAGTTAGAATTGGCTCAAGAACAACTGATTTAATGGGTACAACAAAGTTGCATTACATTGTCACTCACATTACCACCCAAATCAAAAATAGAACTTGGCCAGCTACCCCAGAAGCTCCTCTATATGACTAACCCACCTCACCCTAAGGCCTCGTCATCCCCTTGGAGATAATGGCTTAAAATGTAGTTAGCTTGACTGAGGAATTAAAATTTTCATCTTATTTAATTTGAATTAAAATCACTGCATTTGGTGACTGGCTACTATATTGGACAGTGCAGGCATACAGTATCAGCACCACCAGTGAAATGACTCTGCATCAAATATTATATGTTTTTTCTTAGGAGGACATTACTGATATCCCGAAACTCGCAGATAGTCTCAAATTATTTAGGTGAGTATAACCCTAGAGGGGAAAGGGAAGATCCATACCAAAATCTTGCAAGTAAAGAATCTGAGAGTTTAACTTGCACGCACATGAGGCAGGTTCATGGTTCACTGAAGAAAGGACAGGCTTTGGCCTCAGACAGCTGGGTGACCTTGGGCAATGTCCTTATATCTGTGAGCCTCAGTTTTCTGATCTATAAAATGGGTATATACCTGCCCTTGGGTTTACTGGTAAGACAAAATAAAATCATACGAATAAAGCATTTAACATGGTGCCTGGCTCATAGTAAATGCTCAATAAAGAGTGGGTCTATATAAATATGGCTGGTATCAGCAATAATGAGTGTATGGACCAGACTGTAGTTTCTATTAGGTTTCTAGGAGGTTCAGGGCTCTGACACCATACAAAGGCTCTTTCATCGTTAAAAATCAATCATATCGAGAACTTTGATCCTGGAATTATAAACAATTGTCATCTTATTTTATCTACTTGTTCTGATAAACCTTCCAGTCATCTCAGGCTGATATGAAGCTGTTTTAAAAGGCAGAGCAGTTTTCTCCATGGAAATATGAGACATGATGGTGCTTAGGTGTGTTCCAATGATAGGAATAAGGATGAAAGGAATATGACTGCTTTGAAATGCTATCAGTTATTTTGGTCACTTTATGGTCTGTTGACTTTTCTTAACAAACCGACACTTTGCCCAGGGCAATTAGCTTCCAAAGAAGCAACGGTTGCTTTTGATAAGACACAGTGCACTGAAGGAATAGTAAGCCATATGAAACAAGTGGCCAAAGGTAACAATATTTGTCACTGAGCTTCTACAAGCTTTTAAATTTTATTTATTTATTTTTTTAAAGATGTGTCCACAGAATGTGGTCTCAAACAATAGGGTCATAATTTAGCATCTTTAACATAAAGAATTGTAATCCCAAATTATTCATATTATTATATTCAGAAAAAGGTAACAATTTTCAGCCACAAATCCATTGTTCCAAAGTACTAGAAATAGCTCTGTAAAGAAATTGGGTTGTCAGCTCATCTATGTAGAGCAGATCTAGCTCTTAGGAAACCAATTGATGCCAGCCCCCTGCTATAGATGCTTTTGATGAAGGAGATGCTTTTCTGCAGTCAGTTCCTGCATCCACCTCAGCCATGCTACTCTGAACCATCACAAGGTTTTGGTGTGTTAGACTCAGACTTACAAAGTTATCCTTGTATGTAGTCTACCAGATCTGAAGATGTCAAACTTAATATACCATATGATTCAGGGAAAGGATAAATGAAGAAAAAAGAGGTAAGGAAAGAAAGAGAAAAAAAGGAGGGGGAAGAGAGTGGAGTTATATTTGGCTTGTGACCTCGAACAAGCCCTTCATGTCCCTGGACCTCTTTATCAGTTTAAGAGCATTGGACCAGACCTTTGATTTTCAAGTGTTTTTTGCTTAAATAAATAAAGCTCTTTTATTCTCTTGAGCCCACTATATAAACAGCAGACTGCAGGTTCTGGCAACATAGATCTCATTTGGTGTAAACCTCAATCTGGCTATCAATACACACAAATGCTGGATAAAAGAAAAAAATTTTAAATTGCAAAGAAAAATATTGAACTTAATGTAAGACTAGGAAATCACAACTTGTAGGAAATTAAGAGGAAACCTAGTTTGACTAATTAAGCCTCAGCAGCCCAGGGGTGTTTAAGGCTTGTGATGGGATAGGAGGTGAAGCTTTGGGCCAGAACTGAAGTTCATATCTATAGATAGAACCTTGCAAGGGCTTTTTTGTGTATTGGAGAGTAGGAAAACTATCCATCAGCCAGAGGAAGCTCAGCTTTGTGTGAGGTTCTATGTGAAGAAATGAAGAATTCCTCTGAGAAATCAGAGCTCAGGCCTGTGCCTCACACAAATGTAAATTTAAATTAAAATGTCTTTCCTGAGAATCCCTAACTGAACAAGAAACTAGAACTAGTCCAGGAGCACAAAACCTCTGAAGTCCTAGCAAATCTAATTGTAGAAAAGCTCAGAGGGAAAGCTCAACAGGCCAGTAGGCATGGGCTGCCTACAGAAACAAGTAGCCCCTTACAAAAAATGAGCTCCCAATAAAAACGACTAATCATGCGAGTCAATGAAACATCATCAGAAAGAGATAGCTGCCCCAAAAAACAGGAATGTTAACGATTCCAATAATTTTAGGTGTTATAACAATATAAAGAAACCATAAAATAAATACATTTAAAATTATTAAGTAGATTTAAAAGTAGAAGTTGTAAAAAAAAAAAAAAAAAGTAGTAATATAAAAAGAAAAGGCAGTACTGAAAAGAAATTTCTAGAAGTAAAAAATATAATCATAAAAATTTTTAATTCAGTAGGCATTGTAAAGATTAACAGACACAATTGAGAAAACAAGAAAGGTAGCCATGGGAAATAGGAGATAGATAGAATAAAAATGCCCAACTTAAGTCTACTCAGAGTTCCAGAAGGGAGAACATGGAGATGCTTGTGAGAATACTTGAGAATTTTCCGTAATATTTGAAGACAGAATTGTCCAGGAACCACAATCCCACGCATAATAAATCATGCAGAGTCACAGTTATTTTAGTGCTATCATTGACAATTACAAACACTACATTTTACTTACACTCCAAGGAGGTAAAAAAATCCCATCATAAACAATACATCGAAGTAGTACTTAAATTTCAAGGCTCTTGTGCTTTTTATTTGGCCCGTATGCAGAAGCTTACTGCACACATCTCTGTACACATCAAAAGCCAACACAGTTTTACATATAAACAAAAGTCAGCAAATTCACATTTGATAAAGTCAACTATGGACAAGATCAAAATCTCTAAAATCTGAGAGAAATGGCAGATTTGCTACAGAGGAGCAAGGATTAGATGGACAATCAATTTTTCATTGGCAGAAAACACAGGTTGAAAGGTCTCTTCAAAATGCTAAGAAAGATAATCAATCTAGAATTTTATGACCCACTAACAATGCACATTAGTCAAATCTGCTGCATAAGACCTTTTTAAAGTGTTGAAGAGCAAAGATGTCAGCTTGAGGACTAAGGTGCTTCTTACGCAAGCCATGACATTTTCAATAATCTCATATGAATGCAAAAGCTGGACAGTGAATGAGGAAGATCATAGAACAATTGATGCTTTTGAGTTAAGGTGCTGGAAGAGAATATTGAAAGTGCTGTGGGCTGCCAAAAGAACCAACAGATCTGTGTTGGAAGAAATGCAGCCAGAGTGCTCCTTGGAGGCCACGATGGCCAAACTTCGTCTCTCATGCTTTAGACATATTGTCAGGAAGGACCAGTTGCTGGAGAAGGATAATCATGTTTGGTAAGGTGGAGGGTCAGAGAAAAAGAGAGAGACCCCCAGCGAGATGGACTGGCCAAGTGGCAGCATCGATGGACTCAAGCGTGGCAACGGTAGTGAGGTTGGCCCAGGATCAGGCAGTGTTTCATTCTGCTGTTCACAGGGTTGCTATGAGTCAGTACCGATTCGATGGCACCTAACAACAATGCGCTAGACTGCAAAACCGTTTGAACTGCAAGGTTGGCAGTTCAAGCTCACCAGCTGCTCCTCAGAAACCCTATACAGGGTCGCTGTGGGTCGGAACTGACTCGATGGCACTTCACACCAACAACATACATACCATTCAAAATTCTACATTTGGTGAACCCATAAAAAGTAAATCAATCTGACTAGTAAATTGGGAGCCCAGTGGCTATATATGATAAGCACTGGACTGCAAACCATAAGGTCCATGGTTTGAGCTCTCCAATCACTTCTCGGGAGAACAGTGAGGCTTTATGCTCCCTCAAAGGCTTAAAGCTTTGGAAATCCTATACAGGGTCATTATGACTTTGGAATCCACTCCACAACACTTAACAACAACAGCTAGTAAATTGCATATTTGATAAAAAGAGTGACCGATGCAAAAACTGTAAGTAAGGTGTAGCTACTATTAATTTAGAACAAATAAATGGATCCTATAATATTATACAGAGAGTCCATAAATAAAATTCATTCATTACATCATTTATAGAAGGTCATTCCTCTAAGAAATCCTGATCAACCCCCAAGGGCAAAATTGTGCCACTACCTGCCTTGCCACTGGTATTTCTGACCTTGACTAGCCCAGGTGCAAAAGTTCCCTAGCCCTTATGGTTGGATATGTGTGTGTGTGTGTGTGTGTGTGTGTGTGTTCATGTACATGTCTATATGAGGATGAGTCAAAAATTATCTGCTATAGAATTTCTTTTAATCAACTTTTAGAAAAGATAAATATATCATTTTTCAACATAATCACCTTGCTTTTCAATATACTTTGTCCATCTGTCAACAAGCTTTCATATTCCCTTATTAAAACATGTTTTTGACTGAGCTTTAAACCACAAATGCACTGCTGTCTTCACTCCATCAGAGGTGAATCTTCATCCTTGAAGGGCTGCTTTCAGGGGATCAAATAGGTGAAAAGTTCGATGGAGCAAGGTCAGGACTATAGAGAGGATGCTTTAACACCTCAAAAGGAAGTGTTTGCAGTGCAGCATGGGGAGAGGTTGTGTGGGCATGCATTGTCATGCAAGATCACAATACAGTTGGATAATAATCCTCTGTGTTTAATCCAACAAAGTTTAGGCATCAGCTGTTCAGTGAGCATCTCACTATAACAAGCACTATTGATTGTTGATCCTTTTTCCTGATAGTGTTCCAGTACTGGCCCTTGAGAATCTCAGAAAACTGTAAGCATCAATTTCCAGCTGATGGTTGACTTTTGAACTTTTTCTTGGTCAACAAGGATGTTTTCTTTCCATACTCTGCCATTTACACTCAGGCTCATAGTGATGAATCCATGTCTTATCACCAATAACTATTTAAAAAAAAAAAAAAAAACTTTTATCTTCTTTCGAGTATTGGTCCAAATTTTGCTTGCAGATACCAGAACGCTTCTGTTTATGCTCTTCTGTGAGTTATTCCAGTACCCATCTTGCACAGACTTTTCAAAACCCAGGTTTGTCATGGATTATTTCATAGGCAGAACCATGGATGATTTGCAAATGATTTGCCACACAATCCACTGTCACTCATCTATTCGACAGAATCATTTCCCATGCACACTCAATGTTGTCATCAGCTGTAGACATGGATGGGCATTTTAATATCAACGGAGTGTGGATCATTTTTTACTCATCCTCGTGTAATATGTATAACAGCAAGGTCTATATTCAGTTGTAGATTTCAGTGGTTTCCATTGATTTCCATTGCACACTGGTCTTTCTCTGGTGATTCCTCTTAAAAGTCAAGAGGAAACTACAGAAAAGTTTGTTTACTTTTAATGTCTGATACCTTGAATTTTGTGCTGACTGAATCTATAGCTTCTTTAGATCCCAGAAGTGTGCTGGAATTTCAAATATCACCATATTCATGTATGTTTTTTTTGCTCCTTCCTCCAACTGCCATAGAATCAATTCCAACTCATGGCAACCCAGGCATATAGAGGAAAAACTATCAGCGGTTCCGTGGGAGAAAGATGAGGCTTTCTGCTCCCGTAAAGATCTACAGCCTCAGAAACCCTGTACAGGGTTGCTATGAATCAGAACCGACTCCACGGCACCTAACAACAACAACAATAAGGTTTTCAGTGACTGATTTTTCAGAAGTAGATTGCCAGGGCTTTCTCACATGGTTCTTTTAAGTGGACATGAACTGCCAATCTTTCAGTTAGCAGCCAAGTGTGTTAACTGTTGGCACCACTCAGGGACTTACATATATAATAATGATGTATCGAGCACTTCACAATGTACTGAGCTATACACTTGACCTCATTCAATTCTCATAAAAGTTCTGTGGTTAGAGACTGAAGCCAACACAATAAGTGGCACCCAGACAGATGAAGTCTCTTCCAGAGTCACACATTTGATCAGCAGCAGAGCCAGGAAGGGGCCCAGGTGGTCTAGCTCCTGAGCCTGTGCATTAACCTCTTCCTCTCATACCAAAAGCCCATTAGAAATGAGTTAGCAATTTGAACATGGTTTTTCAAAATAGAGTATGTTGTTTGCAAGGATCTCTAGAGAACTTTGATTTACTTGAAATTTGTAATATGTTCTGTATTTCTAGATGGCATTTAAGCTTACTGTATTTTAACTTGCAGGCCCAAGAAGCTAATATTAAAAGCTTTCAAACAATATTGGTTCGTCTTCAAAGACACATATATAGCCTACTTTAAAAATAAGGAACTTGAACAAGGAGAACCAGTAGAAAAACTAAATCTTAGAGGTAAGGGTCCTGCATCTGGCTATGTCCTGCATCTGGCTATATCTTGACTGAAAGCAAGGCTCCAACAAAATGAAGGAAGGTTTTATTCCAGAGGAATGTCTACATGTCACTGTTTCAGAATGGCAGCCTGCAGCCAGTTCCTGTTGTCCCAGGAAATGCGAACCTTGAACATGACCGTAGGAAATGTGGTTCTTTGCATTCTGCTGTTCCTCCTTTCCCATTGTGCCCAATTCAGTGGAATGTTAGTGGTTGATGTCCAGAGAGTAGCATTTGAGTGAGGCATTGTAGAATCCTGAAAGTCGTTCTGAATCCAGGACCAGTTATGTTTGACCCAGTGTTACATTAATGCTCATCCTAATTGCTGAAAGGGGCTGAGTAGACTGGTAACTCTACCAGTAGAAATATTTAATGAACCAGCACACTCAGTTCCCTTTCATGATGGCAATCAAAATTCCTCTATTTTCAAGTTTATGTTCATAATTTGAGTTGTTAAATGCTGTTGTGTCAGTTCCAACTCACAGTTGCCCTATCTAGGGTGTCCGAGACTGTAAATTTTTGCAGTAGCAGAAAGCCTTGTCTTTCTCCCTTGGAGCAGCTGATGGACTCAAACTGCTAACCTTATGGTTCACAGTTATCCTATATCTACTTTAAAAATTAAATTTAAGAAAATCATTTTCTTTATCCATGTTAGTTGCTCTCAAGCCAAACCCTATTGCCACTGAGTGAATTCTGACTGATAGTGACCTCTAAGACTGAGTAGAACTGCGCTCCAGGGTTTCCAAGGCTGTGTTCTTTTATGTAAGCAAAATACTATATCTTTCTCCTGTGGAGCAGCTGGTGAGTTTGAACTGCTAACCTTTTGCTTAGCAGCTGAGCACTTAACCACTGTACCACCAAGGCTTCTTGTAGTAGCTCTTACGGCTTACTACCTTATCCATCAACTGATGTTATCAACCTGTTCCTCCATTTTCCAGAAGAGAACCAAACCTGAGGGGCTTCTGTCCCAAGTCCTTAGTTCAGATGCACAGTTGTTACTTGTATAACAAATTTGCCAACACTCACTTCTGTCCTTGCTTTCGGTCACTCAGGCTGTGAAGTTGTGCCAGATGTAAATGTAGCAGGAAGAAAATTTGGAATCAAGTTACTAATCCCTGTTGCTGATGGTATGAATGAAGTATATCTGAAATGTGACCATGTAAGTAAAACCACAAAAGTGTAAGTCACTTCACCCTTTATTAAACTCAAGGTCAAAACACATAAGACATTTTTCAAATCAGAATACTCTTGTATCCTTCAGCTATTGCTTTGTAACAAACAACCACAAAATCACAATGGCATATAACAGCAAACATTTGTTTCTGAAACATCTGCAGGTGACTGGGCTTGGATGATTCAGAATGACTTATTGTTACTCAGAAAACATGGTTTGTCTACATTTGTTTGTCAGCTATGCCCTCCCCAAGCCCAGGAGGTATTTTTGTGAGCACTGCTATACCATTTTTTTAACATGTTGCTGTAGCAGCTGGGCAAATATGGTTCAAGTCACATGTCTGGTGAGGCTTTGGGTTCATGTCAGTGCCATGTGTATTTATTCTGGGTCCCAGTCTGCCTGGAGAAAACTCTTCTCATAGTAATGACACCTATGCAACAGGGCAACTGGAAACAGGTGAGGCCTCATAAGCTGCAGTTGAAATTGTCACTGTCCATTCCACCCATGCTCCATTGGCCAAAACAAGTCACATGACTGAGCTCAAAATCAAGGGGTAGGGAATTCCACTGTGGCTCTAATGGGAGGGAATGTGATGTGACATGGCAAAGGACATGAGTGGGTGAGGATCGAGGCCAATGGGCCATAGCTACTGTTTCTTTGAAGACTTCCTTGCTTCCACTGCACACACTCCACTTCTTTCTCTAAGATACTGAAGAACAATAGAAGTGGTGCAGAGCCCATCAGTGGCATTGATCCCTACCTGGGGATTCAATTCTCTACTAAGGATGGGCTAGTGTCAGAGTAACATGGGAAATTAGTTAATGATTTTTTCTGTCATATGAAAAATGGAAATCCATCTCCAGGAAGGCTCTCTGGTAAGGCTCTCTGGTAGTCTGGGTTTTCTATTCTCTGTGCTCTATGATGCTCCTTCGTGTCATTGGTTCTTATTTATAAGCAGTTTGCAGGATTTTCAAAGCCAACATATCTATATGCTAACACTTTACCATCTAGAAACTGAGAATAAGATACAAAAGCTACTGTTGGGTGTTAAATTAGGTGGCTGGCGGCCACCTAGAATGGGCATGTAGCTTCACACCTCCTGGAAAGATAAAAGGTGATGGCTGTTCTGTTCCCAGTAGGTGACTTTGCACTTGAACTTCTTTCTCTTCCCTACTCATGCTTGCTACAGGAGAATCAGTATGCCCGATGGATGGCTGCCTGCATTTTAGCATCAAAAGGCAAAACCATGGCAGACAGCTCCTACCAGCCAGAGGTCCTTAACATCCTTTCATTCCTGAGAATGAAAAACCGGAGCTCAGCATCTCCAGCAGCTTTCAGCGTGGAGAGCATGGACATGAACCCAGAATGCTTTGTGTCTCCCCGGTGTGCAAAAAAGCACAAATCCAAACAGGTACCACTTATCTGGCTGGGGTGATTGTTTGCAGTGAATGTTTTATGTTCTGAAATAAAATAAGGAACTCTGTCTGATGAAGGACATCATCCTGAAAACTCAGGTGATGTGTAAATTTTAATATGGACTTGACATTAGATGATATTAAATTGAAGAAATTAATATAAATTTCTGGACTACTAACTGAACATTAATCCAAGAAGCTGGTTATATGATGAAAAATGTGGCATCAGGATTGGAGGAAGACTCATTAACCTGTGTTATGCAGATGACACAACCTTGCTTGCTGAAAGTGAAGAGGACTTAAAACATTTACTGTTGAAGATCAAAGAGTACAGCCTTTGGTATGGATTGCATCTCAATGTAAAGAAAACAAAAATCCTCACTACTGGACCAATAAATAACATTCTTATCAATGGAGAAAAGATTGAAGTTGTCAAAGACTTCATTCTTCTTGGATCAACTATCAACACTCGCTGAAGCAGCAGTCAAGAAATCAAACGACGTATTGCATTAGGCAAATCTGCTGCACAAGACCTTTTTAAAGTGTTAAAGAGCAAAGATGTCAGCTTCAAGACTAAGGTGCGCCTGACCCAAGCCATGGTATTTTCAATAACCTCATATGCATGTGAAAGCTGGACGGTGAATAAGAAAGAGCATAGAAGAATTGATGCCTTTGAGTTATGGTGTTGGAGAAGAATATTGAAAGTGCCATGGGCTACCAAAAGAACCAATAGATCCATCTTGGAAGAAGTGCAGCCAGAGTGTTCCTTAGAGGCCAAGATGGCCAAACTTCATCTCTCATACTTCGGACATACTGTCAGGAGGGACAAGTCACTGGAGAAGGATATCATGTTTGGTAAGGTAGAGGGTCAGAGAAAAAGAGGAAGACCCCCAAGGAGAAGAATTAGCCAAGTGGCAGCATCGATGGACTCAAGCGTAGCAATAGTAGTGAGATTGGCCTAAGATCGGGCAGTGTTTCGTTCTGCTGTGCATAAGGTCTCTATGAGTTGGTACCGACTTGAAGGCACCTAACAACATCAACAACTGAACATGGTGATATTCCCAGATTGAACTTAATTAAGAATAGAATTATTTGGTCCCTGAAAATTAAAGCTCAAATTTAGACTTTTAATAAGAGTGAGTTAGGAGTCCCTGTGTGGTAGTTAAGCACTCGGTTCCTAACAGAAAAGTTCACAGTTCAAATCCACCAGAAGCACCTCAGAAGCCAGGCCTGGCAGTCTGCTTCCAAAAGGTCACAGCCATGAAAATCCCATGGAGCACAGTTTTACTCTGGAGCACATGGGGTCACCATGAGTTAAAAGCAATTAGACAGCAACTGGTAAGAATGGGTTAGCAGTCAAACTCTGTAGCTGTAACAAATGGTTTACACAAATGAACTGATACATGTAGAGCCACTGCTCATGGATGCTCCAGAGAGAGAGACCCCAGGCCTCGCCATCTGCATGCTTCCTAGGAGAAGCTTATGTGTGTGCTGGCTGCTCTTGTTCCTGCTTTTCCCCAGTGGTCTTTGTGTCTTGTAGAGAAAAAAGAGAAAGAGTGAACAGATGAGAATGAATGAATTTTTGAAGCTGTGCTTGGGCCTCACATTGTTTTTCTCATTGGGGATCTGGCACTAATAGTAGTCAATGCAAACTGAGGAGAGTTTGATGTCTCCTGCTTTTGCTTAGCTAGCAGCCCGGATCCTGGAAGCCCACCAGAATGTGGCCCAGATGCCCTTGGTCGAAGCCAAGCTGCGGTTCATCCAGGCATGGCAGTCTCTTCCTGAATTCGGGCTCACCTACTACCTCGTCAGGTAACTACCATTTTTGCTTCCTCTCCTACATTCTATTTGATTTTCAGTGATTTTTCTAGAGCCAACTTTATTCTTACTTAGTGTCTAGTGTGAGGTCCTGATGTGGCACTGTAGGATAAGCACTGGACTTCCAACCACAAGGTTGGCAGTTCAAACCTACCAATCACTCCTTGGAAACCCTATAGATGGGTCGCTATGAGTTGGGACCAACTCAACAGCACTTAACAACAACAAACTAGCATGTAGCCCTCTTTTCTTTTGCTGACACCCTTACAAATGGCGAAGATACTTTTGATCACTCATAAAAGCCTTTCTATTCCTTTGATCAAAGTGCCAGCACCCCTGAAAGTCAGCTATATGTAAGAAGGGAAATTTTGCATTTTTAAACCGAGGCCTGGCTCCTTTCGAATAACTGCATCTGCGAAGCCAAAGGGAGAATGTCACCTATCACTGTTATGAGACCTGTGACACCCTGTCATCTGCCTGTTACGGTTCACATGTTGTCTTTCATGGTATGACTTCACAAAATTCTTGGGTTTCTAGACAAAGAGGTCTTAACAAACCCTATGACTTCTCTTAACAAAACCATGTCTTACCAGATACAGACCTTATTCTTACTGGTTTCTGAATATTTCTAGGCCTTAAGGGCCTTTAGGGGGTACTGGTGTGGTGCTGTAGGATACACAATGATCTGCTTACCACAGATCATGGGTTCAAACACACCAGCTAATCCCCAGAAACCCTACACAGGGGTCACTCTGAGACAGAACTGACTTGATGGTGCTTAACAACAACACATCATTCAGTATTTGACCCAAAAAATCCTTCAATATTACAAGTCAAAGCTTGACTATTTTCTTCATTGGCAAAATATTGAATGATGCATCAAAAGAAGATGGAAGGAATATACAGAAGCACTGTACCAAGAAAAAAAAAAAAGTTCAATGTTCAACCATTTCAAGAGGTAGCATGTCATCAAGAGCCAGTGATCCTGAAGAAATGGTCAAAGTGCATTGAAGGCATTGGCAAAGAACGAGGCACCACGAATTGATGGACTACAAATTGAAATCATTCAAAAAACTGATGCGGCACTGGAGGTACTCACTCATCTATGCCAAGAAATTTGGAAGACAACTACCTGGCCAACTGACTGGAAGAGCTCCCTATGTGCGCCCATTCCAAAGAGAGGTGACCCATTGGAATGAAGAAATCATCAGGCAATAATACCATTAATATCACATGCAAGTAAAATTTTGCTAAAGATGATAAAAAAAAAAAAATGGCTGCTACCATACCTTGACAGAGAAATTCCAGAGGTTCAAGCTGGATTCAGAAGAGGACATGGAATTAGGGATATCACTGCTGATATCAGATGAATCTTGGCTGAAAGCAGAGAATACCAGAAAGATGTTTACCTGTGCTTTATGGGCTATGCAAAGGCTTTTGATTGTGTGGATCATAACAAGCTGTGGATTGCAGAGAATGAGTATTCCAGAACACTTAATTGTACTCATGAGGAACCTGCACATGGACTAAGAAACAGTTGTTTGAACAGAACAAGAGAACACTGAATGGTTTAAAATTAGCAAAGCTGTGTGCCAGGGTTGTATTGTTTCACCATACTTACTCAATCTGTATGCTAAGTAAATAATCCAAGAAACTGGATTATATGAAGGAAAACATGGCACCAGGATAGGAGGAAGACTCATTAACAGCCTTTGATATGCAAACGATACAACCTTGCTTCCTGAAAATGAAGAGGGCTTAAAATATTTACTGATGAAGATCAAAGACCACAGCCCTCAGTATGGGTTGCACCTCAATGTAAAGAAAACAAAAATCTTCACCACTGGACCAATACATAACACCAAGATAAATGGAGAAAAGATTGAATTTGTCAACCACTTCATTTTGCCTGATCAACCATCAACACTCATGGAAGCAGCAGTCAAGAAATCAAGCCATGTATTGCATTAGGCAAATCTGCTGCACAAGACCTCTTTAAAGTGTTCAAGAACAAAGATGTTAGTTTGAGGACTAAGGTGTGCCTGACCCAAGCCATGATATTTTCAATAGCTTCATATGCATGTGAAAGTTGGCCAGTAAATAAGGAAGACCGTAGAAGAACTAATGCATTTCAGTTATGATGTTGGAGGAGAATATTAAAAGTACCATGAATTGCCAAAAGAACAAACAGAATCTGTGTGGGAAGAAGTACAGCCAGAACACTCCTTGGAAGCCAGGATGGCCAGACTTCCTCTCTCATAGTTGGGACATATTATCAGGAGGGACCAGTCCCTGGAGAAGGATATCATGTTTGGTAAAATAGTTGGTAGGAGAAAAAGAGGGAGACCCCCCCAATGAGATGGATTGGCACAGTGGCAACAGTATTGGGCTCAGACATAGCAAGGATTGTGAGGTTGGTACAGGACCAGGCAGTGTTTCATTCTGTTGTGCTTAGCTATCAGTAAGTACCATCTCTCCATAGCACCTAACAATAACAGCAACAGCACCACTAACAAAGGGCCCTGATGTGACCCATTTAGTATCCTTACTTTCTGCTTTACATGAGAATACGGAAATACAGAAAAGTAGCTTATGTCACTTGCCCAAGTTTACCTCCAAGCCAGGGTCACAGAACCCAGTGTATTCATTAATAATCCCCACCAAGCAGGATTGCTTCATCTAACCACATAAAACAAATGACTCCCCAAAATATTTCCATAAGCATGCTTGTAAATCAAGTTATGTATACTTAATCCAATAAGAAAGATAATGTCTCTGGTAGCATAGTGGTTACAAATATGGCTGCTAACCTCAGAGTCAGCAGTTTGAAACTACCAGCTGTTCGCAGGAGAAAGATGAGGTTTTCTGCTCCCGTAAAGATTTACAGCCTCGGAAACCCTGTACAGGGTCGCTATGAGTCGGAACCAACTCCACAGCACATAGCCACCACCACACTTAAAATTAAAGCAATTACTCCCCTCACATTCTCAGTTTGCAGCTCAAGGATTAGAAGTTGTTTTAAAGAGTTGACTTTTAGGAAAATTACTGTTTTCATTTTGTTTCTTGACTGATTCCAAAGACCTGGCTTCTCCTATCTGATCTAGCAAAGGAGTCTACTCCGGCTCTTCTATTTACTGAAAAATGTCATTGAATATCCATACCCAATGCTTGTCCCAAATAAATCACTCCTACTTTCTTCCCTCAGTAAAAGAGTCAGAAAGGGCAAATTTGTGCTAGACACCTGCCCATGGATATGTGCACATGTGTGTGTATGTACCTGCCCATGTTTATGTTCACAGGTGTGTATGTATGCATACACACCTCAGATACAACCCTCAAGTCAACCCTGCACAGTGGGAAGAAACAGGCCCAGCTTTCAATCCTACCTCAGCCATTCATTAGCCCCTGACCTTGGGCATTTTAATTAGCCCCACATCCCCCTCTGTGGCTGTCCCCTTTCTCTGCAATGTGTGTGCCCCCTGGTGATACCCACCATCTTCAATTCCTTCCTCTCATTCTTTCTGAAATGCATGCCAATCAGGCTTTCTCCCCTGCTTTCCCCCCAAAAGTTCCTCTTGCCAACCTCTCCCATGACCTCTACTTTGCTGCTGAGTCCAGTGGTCAGTTTCCAGTCCTCAGCAGCATCTGGCACACTGAATCACCCCTTCCTCCTTGACTTTCTCATATTTGTATTCACTTGACTAGACTTCCAAATCAGCAGCATTTCTGGGTTTCTCTTCTGCCTTGCTGGACAATTCTTTGGGCCTCCTTTGCTGATTCTTCCTCAGTTTTCCAACCTCTAAGTATGCATACAGACTGCACAGACCTCAGTCCTTAAATCATTCCTTTTCTCAGTCTGTATGCACCCTCTGGGGCTCACCCTTTTTTTTTTTTTTTTTGGCTTCACTTGTAAGCTGATTACTTTGAGATATACATCTTAAGTCCAGAAATCTCTCTTGAACTATTGATGTTGTTGTTATGTGCCATCAAGTCACTTCTCATAGTGACCCTGCATAGGATTTCCAAGGAGTGGCTGATAAGCTTGAGCCACCAAGCTTGTAATTCAAACCTACTCAGTGTACTAACCCACAGTGCCACACCAGTACTCCTTTCTCTTGAACCACAGACTCATCAATCTGCCTATTGAAGAGCTTCCCTTGAATGCCAAATGAGTATCTCAAATCAGCATGTCCAAAACTCTTTCCCCTTGAACTGCCTGCATTCTTCCCCTTCTTCTTCTTTTAGATGTTTAGGTCAACTCCCATGTGGTCACTCATTTTTCTTATATCTCGGTTTTATCGATGAGCAAATCCTACCAATTCTACCTTCAGAATATACCAGCATATACTTCAAAATATGCAGGGAGGGCTGAGAAAAGCGGAACTTTTTGAGTTTAGGAACCCTCAAGGTCTAAGCCTGAGTTACAGCCTCCCATTGTCTTCATTCCCAGAAACTAAGGCCAAGAGCTGAAAAGTCTAGGTGAAGTTAGTCATCTTGGCATCCTCCTGATTTAAAATATTACAATGTTGCTTATATAAAATCTGTTTTCCTTTATTCCATTGGCACTCTCATATTTCCAACAGAAAACCATCAAGGAATGTATCCAGGGTCTGCCCCCTTCTCACCATCTCCTTCACTACCACTGCGGCCCAGACCACCATCATACCTCACCTGGACCCCTGGTAGAGTGTTCCTATCTGATCTCCCTGCGTCCATCTTTGCCTCCATATGTTTTCAATTTAGCGGCCAGAGTGATCCTATCAAAATATAAGCTCAAAACCATCCAAAGGCTTTCTCTCTTACCCATAGGAAAAAAAACCCTAAATTTTGAATAGCCTGTAAGACCTCAGACCTTCCTTCACGGCATCCAGCTACACCGACCTCTTGGCAGGTCCTTGTACTGGTGGTTTCCTCCACCTGGAATGCTCTGTCCCTGGATTTGCATGTGGCTCAACCCCTCACCACGACCACCAAATTCTTGATCAGATGTTACCTTCTCGCGAATGAGGCCTTCCTTGACTTCCCTTTTTAAAATTATAACTACCTCTTCTCCAGATTTCCCCATTTTCCTTTGTCTGCTTTATTTTTCTGCTTGATCTCCTGTGGTATATATGTTTAACTAATTCATGATCCTTTCCTCTGACTAGTATATAGCTCCATGACATCAAGAATTTCCTCCATTTATCTTACTGCTGCATCCCCACTATCTAGAAGAGTGTGTGGCACATAGTTGGTACTAATTGTGATGGAAATTTATCTGACTCCCTCTTATTTGTCTTCTTCTGATGTCAGTGTTACCTAAAGAATGTTTGCAATGATGCTTTATTTCTCTCCTCTCTTCATTTGTTGTTAAGTGCCGTAGAATCGGTTCAGATTCATAGCGACCCAAGATAGGGTTTCCAAGGAGCAGTTGGTGAGTTTGAACCTCTAACCTTATGGTCCAAACCAACCTTGTGGTTCAGTGCTTTATCCCACAGCACCACATCAGGATTCCTTTCTTCATATTCTCACACACACACACAAAGCCGTCCTATAAGATGCCATCCCCTCATCATTGTGAGATGATATAGAAAGGTTAGTATTATCTTTCAGAAGTTACACATGAATGAGCATTATAAGAAACAGTTGCTTCTCTTCATCAGTATTATTATTTTTCCAGATTCAAAGGAAGCAAAAAAGATGATATTCTGGGAGTTTCATATAATAGGTTGATTCGAATCGATGCAGCCACCGGGATTCCAATTACAACATGGAGATTCGCGAATATGAAGCAGTGGAATGTGAACTGGGAAATCCGTCAGGTAAAATATGTTTTTAATAGCATTCGGCATATAAGTATTCACTCAGAATTACAGATTGTTCTGATTAGATTATTCTGATTTCTAAAAACTGTTCTTATAGTTAAAAGTAGCAAACCACAATCTTATGGCTTCCAGTAAAATAATCACACATAACTCTGGGAAATGCCTTATCAAGTATGTTGTTGTTGTTAAAATGCCATCCAGTCTGTTCCGACTCATTGCAACCGTGTATAGGGTTTCCAAGGAGCGCCTGTTGAGTCTGAGCCATCAACTTTGTGGTTCAGACCGACTTTGGGGTCCATTGCTTTATCACCCAACTTCAGGACTCCTCAAATGATTTTAAATTTTATCACCACAGATTGGCTTAGTCTCCATACAGACCTTCCTTACAGATGCCAAATTTGTTTATTAGTTGCTTAATCTTCATCAGCTTAGCAATAGGATCATGTAAGATTTAGGCTGATACTTTCTTAGCAGAAACTATGTGAGATCAAACCTGGAAAAGGCCTTAGCTAACTGACTGCCCAGAGTTATGACTGGCTGAGGACTCAGAGACTCAATTACCCACCTGAAGAGCATTCCGATCTCACTTGCTTATTAGGGAAGAAAGTGAAGTATGCAGGGAGGACTGAGAAAAGTTTAATAACCTTTTGAGTTTAGGAAGCCTCAAGCTCTAGGCCTGAGTTACAGCCTCCCATTGTCTTCCATCCCAGGAACTAAATTCAGCCCAAGAGCGGAAAATTCTAGGTGAAGTTACTCATCTTGGCATCCTCCTGATGTAAAATATTACGATGTTGCTGATATAAAATCTATTTTTCCTGATTACTTTGACACTCTCATTTTTCCAACAGAAAACCATCAACATAGAGTGATAGTAAGAAATTCACCTTTTTTTTTCTCTCTCTCAAGAATCCTGGATTTCTTTCTCAACAGTGCTTTTAACCACCCAGGGACTCATTTGTAGCATGAAGATCTAATATTAGATGACTTCTAAGCCAGTGGTTCAAATATTTTAATATATACTAGAGCCACCTTCTTTAACAATCCCACTGCACAGACCAATTCAATCTGAATCTCTGAGAGTGAGAGTTGGACATCAGTAATTTTTATACAATGGACAGCAAAGACTGGAAACCAGAGAATTCTCCATTTCTTCTCTAGCTTAGCTTTTATGACTTTCAGCTGGGATGTGGTGCCAGGCAGTGTCCAGTGATTGTGGGGAAATTCAGGTGGGTCTGTTATTCTCTATTAAAGAAGCTGCAACGCACCCTGCTTCTCAACACAAGGAGTGCTTGGGAAGTACTTATAGCTAAATGAGAGAGAGAAAGCCACATGGAGACTTTGAGAATGCAAGGGAGCTTCAAGAAGTTTGTGGGAAAATGGAATTAAAAGATAATGGAATTTGTCCATGACCTTTTGAAGCCCCCACATGTGCACGTACCGGTTTAACAAGTGTATGGCTAAGTTACACCACAAGAGGGCACAGTGAGAGCAGAGATGTTTTATGACGGGCATGATTTCCTTCCTTTCTTCCTTTATTCTTTCCTTCCTTCCCTCCCTCCCCAGTGACCATTTCCAGTTAAGTTGCATCTTTCTCATCCTTCTTTGTCAGCGTCTGATCTTAGCCTTTCTCTTTTAGGTGGCTATCGAGTTTGACCAGAATGTCTCCATCGCATTCACCTGCCTGAGTGCGGATTGCAAGATTGTGCATGAGTACATCGGGGGCTATATCTTCTTATCCACCCGCTCCAAGGACCAGAATGAAACACTTGATGAGGATTTGTTCCATAAATTGACTGGTGGTCAGGAATGAAGCCAAGTAGGCCTGCACAAATGGCAAGCAAAGGGTACTCCTGCCTGGGCAGGTGGAGCCCGAGCTTGCGCAGCGTGTCGGTTCCAGACTCCTAGACAACATGTATTCATTCACTACTCGTCACCCAGATCCTCACCTCAAATCAAACACACTGTTTAGAACATCCTTTCCCTTACTTTGCTTTGTGCTTCAAGTCCAAGGGGTCTCAGTAGCCTTTCCTATCAAATGGATGGGCAGCAAAGACAGTGGTATTCTAAGAATGCTTTGGTGGTAGTGGTAGTTATGTACCATGGAATCAGTTCTGACTCATAGAAACCCTGTATAGGGTTTCCAAGGCTGCATATCTTCACAGAAGCAGAAAGCCTCATCTTTCTCCCACAGAACAGCTGGTTTTCTCAAACTGCTGACCTTGATGTTAGCAGCCTGACTCATAACCACTACACTACCAGAGCTCTTTAAGATTGCTTTAGAGTCCAGCATTTATCTTCAATTATGTTATGTACAGAAACTGCCAAGTATGCGACTAGAAGTTGCCCGTGGATGAATGTACCATTGCTAAGTCAGTGAAGAAAATAGAAAGAGGTAAAAATCTCATGTAGCAAGTATAAGTCTTATTCTACAAACTCAGGTATGAAAAGAAATATATTTTATTAACTGAACTGCTTTTAGCTCCCATCTTGTCAATATGACAGGGGCAGTCCACACACACACAACTTTTATGGGAGTCAGGGAACAGTACAAGTTGCCAACTAGGAATCAAAGCAGGAGGCTTCTGTGTCATCAGTCCACAGTGACATCTGCCAAGGTGACCACTGATCCACCTGGTCTTGACCATCAGTCCTCTGGAATTGCTGCTTCCACCTACAAGCCCCATTCCATTCCTGAGGTTCCCTTAGCCACTTTGGAGTTCAACTTGAAGACACGGGTGGCACAGGGTGCAGGGAAAATGGCTCTTGAACCCAGGCCCATGTCTCGCCTACTCCTACTCTGGAAGATGGGCAAAGTAGAAGGTCTTTCTGTTCAAAAACCACTTCCCAACACTGGCGATTCCAGTCACAACTCCATCCCAGTCTTGGTCCAAGTTTAAGGAGAAATAAGCAAAACACAGGGTAGGTCCCTTCCCAAAGACCACTGTGGCCAAGGTCTGACAGCTTCCCCACGAGCCTGTGTCTGAGGAACCTTAGGTGGCCTTGAGTGATAAGGGAGCATCTGTCTTCATTCCACCTCAGTGTACTTCTAGATACGGTGTTTGTGTTTATATAATTCATCCCATCCCCTAAAGGCCTTTGGCTTTTGCAAATCAACGGCCAATAATAGACCTGTTTCTCAGCATTTGCTTTATCATCAAAGCCTTGAGACGTGAGCTTGGCTCAATTAACAGCCATCTGAATTATTTTGTTTGTTTGTTTGTTTCAGTTTATTTGAGAAGATACATGATGAATACCTGGGGTAGAGAGAAATGCCAGGTCATATATTACTCTGTTTTTAATGTTTTCCTGTTACTGAGGAAGTTGGTGGCAAGGGTAAGGCAAAGTCTCCATTTCCATTTTCAAGTTTTCTTAGGGTGCCCCCATGAGTCAGCCAGGCTGGAGCTCACAGGGACACATGTTTGCCTGGAAACATCAGCTGTTGCTTTATTTCCCAACAAAGCCGTGTGGGAAGAGATTCTCAGTGATTCCAAGAGGAAGCCTTGAGGAGGCCTTGGCTAGGGCACCAGGTTCTGAGCCAGAAGCTGTCATCTTTGTTTCTCCTTGGAGAGAAATGTTAGTGATGTTCCCCAGGCACCATCTGAACTTCTGAGGACTAATGTAAAGCTAGGAAGTGACTTGTTGTTATTGTTATGTGCCGTGGAGTCAGTTCCGACTCATAACAACCATGTACAGGGTTTCTGAGGCTGTAAATCTTTACAGGAGCAGAAAGCCTCATCTTTCTCCTGCAGAACAGCTGGTAGTTTTGAACTGCTGACCTTGCGGTTCGCAGCCCGATTCATAACCACTATGCTACCAGAGCTCCTTAGGAAGTGACTTGGGCACTTGGAAAATCTGGTTCACCCACAAAGAACTCAGTTTGATCTGTTTTATATAGAAAAGCCAGTTGCCCTTATGTCAATTTGGACTCATGGTGGCCCCAGGATATCAAAGTGGAACTATGATCCTTAGGGTTTTCAATGGCTGGTTTTCTAGAAGTGAATCTCCAGGCCTTTCTTCCAAGGCACCTCTCAGTGGACTGGAACCTTCAACCTTTCCACTGTCAGCCAAGCACGTTAACCATTTGCACCACTATGCAGAAACTCAGATTCCTGGTGTGCAGCTGTGGGATAAGCACTGGACTACGAGCCCCAAGGTCTGCAGTTCAAACACACCAGCTGCTCCTTGGAAACCCTCTACAAGGTTGCTATGACTCGGAACCAACACAACAGCACTTAACAGCAGCATGCAGAAACTCATGCTAATATACTGCATTGAACCTGGTATGTGTCATTTCCCTCCGGTTTGGGCTCTGTTGTTTTAGAACCTAGTTGGGTCTTAAGCTCTACATTAAAGTAATGCTCCTAGATGTGGAATTGTACCTAGTTGCTGCCAACACACCTCTGCACAATTTACCAAAGTTAAACCTTCACTTCAGCCCACTTCCTCTTCAGCTGTCTGACATTTCCATGAAAATGCTGAAAGGAATTGACTGGCTTTTACCAAACTATCTCTGTGGATTGATGACACCTTGCAAGGGAGCATTTCTTCTGGGATTATACAATGACATCTCAACGGAATAAGCAAGTGTGACTCTAAAAGGAAATCTGAAATGCCACTGCTCTGAAGAGCAAAGATTTTGTATTGTTAATACAGTGGGATGCCAAAGGTCATTTTACTTTGTATGCTGAGATTTTTAATTAATATGTGCTTTTCAAAACCATTGGCTTTCTTATCTATACTGGATGCAGAAATCTGTATTTTTTATTATTTTATAAGATTTTTTTAATTAAAAGGTTTACCTGGGTTTGAGGACTGTCTAGTCATATCCTCTCCAACCTGTGTCTCTAAAAAAGGTGAATATTTCTCCATTATGTACAAGGGGACAGCTTTCACTGTAACCTGTGCTTCTCCTCGTTGTTCTGAGGTTAGAGCCCATTCTTCCTGGTAGGGTGGAAGGCAGCTGAGACACTCACTCATGCTGGTACACCATTGGGTCCTCCGGGATGAACTTAAAAACCTCACTTAGCCATTGTTTTCAAGTCTTTCTTACTGACTCACCAGATTTCCAGATGTATCCTGCCTTTTTGTGAGTTCTTCTCTGTCCTTTTCCAGTTCTACCAGTTAGTTACCAGTTGCTCTGGAGTCATCTTCAGCTCATGGTGGCCCCATTTGTGTTAGGGTCAAACTACACTCTGTAGGGTTTTCAATGCTGAGTTTTCAGTAGTAAATCCAAGGTCTTTCTTCCAAGTTGCTTCTTGAGTGGACATGAACCTCCAGCTCTGTGGTTAATACTTGTTAACCATTTGCACCACCCAGAACTTTCTGAAGGAAAAAAAAAGGTTTTTTTAAAAAAAAGCACCAGAGAACAAAGAAATGCTGTGAGGCAAAGAAACAGCAGAGGCCACAGATTTTGATGACTGAATATAGAGGGTATGTCTTTTTCTTTAATGATGCGCCAGTTGCCATGGCGTTGACTCGGAAGCATAACAACCAGGTAGTGGTTGGTGGTAGAGGCGGCAGGGGCAGAGGTAGTATACAATGGAGTCCATTCTGTCTCACAGAGACCCTGTCTAGGGTTCCGAGGCTGTAAATCTTTACAGGAGCAGAAAGCCTCATCTTCCTTCCACAGAGTGGCAGGTAGATTCAAACCACTGACCTTGCAGTTAGCCCAGCTCATAATCCACTACACCACTAGAGCCCCTTTCAGCAGCAGATAGCAACATACAATTTATAGATGTATCCCTGCACAGCCTTGACATTAACCCAGACAGAACTGCTTGCTTTCTCATTTTACAAAAGAAAAAAATGGATTTCGAAGGTGAAGTAACTTGCCCAGGGATACACTGCCAGTAAGCAGTGGAACCAGGATTCAAAACCAAGTTCTTCTTACCTCCAGAGACCATTAAACTTAGCAAAAGCCACTGTTCCTTTCCCAGCCCTACTGAGAACATCAATTGGGCTCCTTCGGGTGGGGAGAGAGTGACTGGATCAGAAAGGTCAGGGAGCGAGAGAAAGGAGGAGCTTTGAAATTAATTTTTATTCCAAGAAAAATTGCTTTACAGTCCCAAGGTCAAAACACAGAGAAAGGAAAGGAGAAGTCTTTCATTTGAAAACTTATCTTTTAGTTCTTGGCCAAGATATTTTGCAAGGCTTCACTTACGAAATTGCTTTTAAAAAGATTTTGGTTTTTTTTTAAATTCACTTTCAGTAAAGACATATTTTTTATTTAGTCCAGTTAGTATCTCTAGATCGGTGTTCATTGTGACTTTTCTACCTCATCCCCTTTCCCCTCCAGCACCCCAGATTCTCTTCGGGGAACCTCCTTTGTTGCTGTTTCACCAGTTTTCCCCTTCATGCCCCCTAGCTCCCGAGGGCTGTTTAGTCCCAGAAACCATGGATGGAAAAGCTGAAGATCGGTACTTGTCCCTTTCCTCTCTCCTTTCTCAATATCTCACTAAAGCCGAGTGGAAATACTGAGTGTTTTTTACCAAAAAGAAGAAAATCAGCCTTGTCCCCATTTTCTGTCCTCTCAAATGTCTGTGCTTCCCATGAATTCCCAATGTCTTTAGAATAGTAGGTTTTCAGACTTCTTTAATAATCTTAATTGGTGGTGGTGGTTATGTGCCGTGGAGTCGGTTCCGACTCATAGCGACCCTGTTGTTTCGTTCTGTTGTGCATAGGGTCACTATTAGTCTGTGTCAACTCCATGGCACCTAACAACTACAACAACAACTTCAGTCTCAGAAGACGTCAAACTGGAAAAGCAGCAAGGAGAGTGAAACTTCATCTTGCTTACTTTGACACTTAACA